AAATGAATTGGGGTTTTATATTTAGGACCAAAATAAAAGTCAAACAATGTCTTATATTAAAGATCAGAGATAGTACTACTTCATATCATTAATATATTAAGAGTTAGTTACAGATTTAATTTAGTCTTAAATATAAGATCCCAATCTACTTTATTTATAATATTTATCTATTTTGCCTCCAATAATCCGTATAGTGATTACACATGTTAAGAAGATTTTACAAAATAATAATTTCAATACATACTTCTCCGATCCTTAATATAAGACCCAATTCTTGAGTTGGTTTTGGTCCTAAATATAAGACTCATTTATCATATTTATCAATTTTCTCTAAATTACCCCTATGGATACTCCCTCAATCATAATCAAGTAAAAGAAAAAGATGGGATATTAAGAAAGATAATTATGGTATTTTAGAAAAAACGTGTCATATTTCTTATAATTAATTAACTTACCTAACTTCCTTAATCTAATCAAATTAGTTAAATGAGTCTTATATTAAGGATTGGAGGAGTATAATTAATAAGAGTATTTTAAAGAAGACTACATCCATTTATTATAAACAACTAATTTCACTAATTTTTTTAATTTTTATAAATTAGTTACGGAATGTTGTATACAATATAATGTTCTTGCAGCACAATATGCTTTTAACAATTTGGACAAAAAGATGCGTCCTTACTAAGATTCCTGAGGCTGTTTCAGGAGAGCTTTTCTTGTGGTCTACGTCAATATTATCTGGAATCAGAACCAAGATTAACCTGTGATTTTAAAGCTACATATAAACGCAGGCTTTATTCAGTGTTTGGTACTCGCAGGCATGATCTTCACAGGGTACCCAGTGATAGGGTTTCAGAATCGCCTACAAGCCTCTGGGACATGCCTGGACAGCTTTATGGACGCAAAGATCACAGCCTGTGCGTGGGACTCAAGGATAAAAGGCGAGTTCTTCCATCAAACCACATTCAGCATAGCTTTATCTTCTGCAAAAGGCTTCATAGAAGACGTGCAAAAGCTGGTTCAGTTAGAGCCCAAGTCACTCTGTGGAGTAGAACTCTACAACGGAATCCTCATGCGCTATGTCAAGACCTCAAGTGCCTACTTGGGGAAGCAAGACGATGCTATAGACTTTGATCTCACTTACTACAGAAGCAAGGACCCCATGAAGCCTAGGCTTTATGAAGACATTCTTGAAGAGATAGAACAGCTTGGGATCTTCAAATATGGAGGGTTGCCGCACTGGGGAAAGAACAGAAACTTAGCCTTTGATAAAGCTATCAGAAAGTACAGATTCGCAGACAAATTCCTCAAGGTTAAAGAGAGGTTTGATCCGCATGGGCTTTTCTCTAGTGAATGGACCGATCAAGTTCTTGGATTAAAAGAAGGACTGATGATAGAGAAAGATGGGTGTGCTTTGGAAGGGTTGTGTATATGCTCACAGGACAGGCACTGTGCCCCAAGCAAGGGCTACTTTTGCAGACCTGGCAAGGTTTATAAGGAAGCTAGGGTTTGTGCTCATGTGAAATCTAAAAGAATGTGAGTGACATGGATAGAAGAAGATGTTCTTGATGATGGGGGATAGGGAATGTACGTTCTCTGATAGTGACTCACCCGGAAGATGAAAAGAAAGGATAGATTTTATATACTAAGAGATATATCTAATACAAATGAAAATAGAGAGTGAAAAGAAATATAGAAGTTATTAACGGTTTATATTCAATTTTAATAATTTATATTCATATGCTTTTATGTTCTTAATATCTGACCTTTTATTTTATTGAACAAGCCTATATTGCGAGAAGCTGTGCAGTTTTCATTTCAAAGGATCCACGCTGTGGCCTAATCCTTGTGCCCCCGAGTTACGTTCAGGAGCAAAGCGCTTTTTGTGAGTTTTGATTTTTCTTCATAAATGTCTAATAATGTCAAGGAATAGATGATAAAGAACAGAATGTTGTTACATGTGGGCGAACAACGTTAGTTTGTGAACTTCAAAATAGCACAAACGAAATGATTTTCTTAATGGGCCAGAGCTTTCATGGCCCAAATAGAAAACTTAATCTGGGCCAAGCGTGTTTAAGGAGCAACAGATTCAGGAAATAGGCCTAAAGGGGTTTTAAAGACAGATCTGTTAATTTTTTGGGACAAATCAGATATGTCAACCTGAGCCGGAGAGTCCATGACTGGCCGTTTGGCCGGGTGGTACGTGTGGATGTGTGAGGTGTATGCGTTGCGGGTTTTATCCTGCCCCCTTGTAACCAAAAAAAAAAATATATCCACCAGATTGTGTTTGATAAATGAATGTGGGTCTCTATTGGCCACAAAAAAGAGGAGGTCAGTCTCCAATAACATAGCAAATTAAAATTTGAATTTTTATTAAGAAAAAGTCCATATTTAATACAATATAATATTGTTTTCAACAAGAAGAGAGATATTAGTATGCAAAAAAATTGCCCAATGGGTCTCCAATGCATGTGGACTGAAAATTAAAAGTGGAGTCAAGCTGTGTTTCTGGTTGTGAGCAGTGGGTTCCAGTAATGGCTGGAGGAGGAAATTAAAGAAGGAAGGTAGAAGTGGTTTGAATAGAAACAGCCAAAGATAAATGCCACAGTTTATGAGGTAGTAATTTTTTCTTGCCATGTTAGGCAAGGAGAGCTTCGACTATTATTCAAGGACTAGCAAGTAACAACATAATAATTATTATCCAATAATCCGCTTCAGTAACAGCATAATGATACCCAGAAGGGAATTCGTGGGAATATATATATACTCTCCGGTCCTTAATATAGGACTCAATTCTTGAGTTGGTTTTGGTCCTAAATATAAGACCCATTTCTCATATTTATCAATTTTCTCTAAATTACCCCTATGGATACTTCCTCAACTATAATCAAGTAAAAGAGGGGGATGGGGTATTAAGAAAGATGATTATGGTGTTTTAGGAAAAATGTGTCACTTTTCTTATAATTAACTAACTAACCTAACTTCCTTAATATAATCAAATTAGTTAAATGGGTCTTATATTAAGGACCGGAGGAGTATATTTTTTTCGGAGTATTCAGATGATCGGATATATTTGAATTGTGAGAGAGCTGACCATTTCTTAATACTACCTTCGGTCCTAATTATAAAAGCTAGTTGACTAATTTGATGATATTAAGAAAAAAAGTTAAGTTAGTTATTTGTAATAAATAGGTGGTGTCTTTCCTAAAATATCCTTACTAATCAAGTGTATTGGCCAAAACTACCATTGTTAGAAGGACTACTTTAGGAAAAAATACATAAATATGAGAGACAAAGTAAATCGAGATCTTATATTTAGGACCAAAATAAAAGTCAAACAATACCTTATATTAACTACCGGAGGTAGTAATTATTATCAAATTCGCTTCAGTATAAAGTGACAAGAAAACTTTTTTTTCCCCCTTTCATATGGGCATAAGTAGATTGTACTCTTCCTGAGAGTCAAACAACACACAATAGCCTCCATATCAATCCATATCTTTCGCTTCCTCTCCTGTCCTGGCCATGCCTACGAAACTACACCAGAAAATGAGAGAGAGAGAGAGATTTATAGATTTATTACAGCGTGCCAGATGCTTGTTGAATTATCGGATTCTCATGAGTTAATTAAAGGAGTCGATTCCAACCTACTTTAAACAAATAGTAAGAGCTAATAATAAGTTGGCCTTCCGTGAAAGGGTGAGTAGTGTGCATATAGCATAAACATACAAGGCAAATAAAGCAGTAGTAAATAGCAGAATGGCAGTACCATATTCTATTTTATAGGGCCTAGGCAGCATAATTTGGAGGAGAACAATAACCAAAACAAGCAGTTGCTTTGCAAATATGGCTCTTTTTTTGAGATATATATGTGCAACTTGTTGCATATTGTTGCCATGACGTCCATTCATCATCAATTAAAAACACCAAGAAATATATATCATTTTGTGTGCCTCGTTCTTCCTCTCTCCTCTGGCTTCAGATCCATATGGTAAACACATTACACGACACCCCACATGGTGCCATGGAGTGGCTGACGGAACAAATATGGCGGGATAGATAGATATTCTAGTCTTCAACGAAACTTGAGCTGGACAATCTCAATCTATTTTTTTTAATATTTATTTATTTTTTTCTTAACTAATCTCGGTAGTAATCACACATGTTAAAAAATTATTATTAAAAAGTAATTCAAATACACAAAATTAATAAAAATATTTTAGGGAAGATAACATTTCTTTATTACAAATAATTAATACAACTAATTTCTTTAATATTTGTAAATTAGTTATCTGGTTTTTATATCAATAACTAGAGGAAGTATTATTTATTTATTATTATACTTATTTGTTATCATATATTTTTACATCCTCATCAATAGATACATATTTGAAGGTTTGGTAAATATTGAACTTCACTGATAAGCTTAGGAATTAAGTGCTCTATCCGCTTCAAAATATAAAATAAATTTTATCCATTTATGTTTATCCAAAAACTAATTAAAATCAATTTAAAATAATAAATGTGCAAGGCATATATTTGTTTTTCCTAATATACCCTTATTAATGAAAATAATAAGTAAAAGATACAATAAATGAATTAAAAAGAAAAGAGAATATGTTAGGATAAAATTAGAAAAAACTCATCAAATGCTTAAACAAAAGTGAATGTATAGATAATAAAAATAACTGTGCAACTATTAATTTCAGGATGACGCTCAGCCTGCGAGTTTTTCTTTTCCCATTTTGCGGGCAAAAATAAAAAATAAAAAAATACTTTTTTTTTTGACCGGCAAAAAAAAATAAAAAAATACTGCTGGTTGTGGGAGAGGAGCAAAATAATAAGATTTTAGGACGGTGTTAGCTGGCAAAGATAAATAAAAAGAAATGATGGCAAAAAAAAAAAAAATCGGACAATTAGGTTTCAAACGTGGCAAAGTTCTATTAGAGCGTCTTCTTAACTCGCAGTGAAATCGCTCGCTCAGTATACTACCCTCGCGCTGTCTCGATTTGGGGCTCCGGAGAAACAAGGAAAGAAGGCGAGAAACAAAGGAGGCTTCCTTCGTGTCTGGGTTGGCCGGATATCTCACCCCTCCCCTCCTTCCTCCTCTCTCTATCTCTATCTCTCTCTACAGTGGAATTACTGAGAGCCAAAAACAGCCCAATAAGAGGCAAATCTCAAAATCCCCCATTTATGCTACTGGTATGCCTTTTCCTTTATTCTCCAATCTCCATGCCTCCTTTTCTTTCATTTATTCGGGGTGGTGGGAAGGGCTGCTCTCAAAATTTACCCCAAGAGTTGTCCTCTTGTACTTCGGATTCACTTCTAGGCTTTCTCATAACTGAATTTGACCCCATATAGCAAAAAGATATTTCTTTTTGGTATGTCACTTTTACCGGTTCTGGTTCTCTATTTTATTCTTTTCTGCGTTGTTTCTCTGATACCTATCGGTTATTAATGCTCATACTAATTGGGTCTTTCTTCCTTTGTTTCTCCTTGGCCATTTAGATTCAAGGGTTTCATTGATCACACTTTGTGGGGTTTTCGGCTTTCTAATTGGCAGATTTGTATCCCTGTGGGATTGTTGCCCTTTTCTTTCATCAATGGTGGCCCCTTGTTGACATTCCTCTGTTGAGTGGAACAGCTTTTGGGGTGAAAAAAGGGTTGCTTTGATTTGTTTGTTTGTTTTACCCACTTAACCCCCCAGACTACATTGAGCTAATCTTGCTTCATGTCAATTCCAATAGTAAGCTTTGCGCTTCATTGATATTTCGAAAATTCAGTTGAGACTACCTGGTCTTGCCTCATTGGAATGTTTATACCCGGTGACAGGAGAATAAAACTCGGGTGTTGCCAATAGGGTTGAAGTTTTTTTATTGGCATGTCTCTGAAAGCAATTCTGACAATATCTTCCTTGTCATGGTTTCATTGCACATTTCCTATCGTGATGAAGTTTGTTTTCATTCTTTTTCATTTGAAAATCTGGTAGCCTTACAATTCTCTTTTTGTCTATTAACGTCTGTGTGTTAACTTTCATGGTTATTGTTTGGACCAGCAGATATTCAGGTGTTAATGACAAATCCCTGATCCTGAGCTAATCATGTCAGAAGGTGCAGAAGTTGATGAGCGTGTGGACTTTGATGAAGAAAACTACATGGAAGAGATGGAAGATGATGTTGAAGAACAAATATATGATGAGGGAGTGGATGGAGGTGGGGATGAAAATGAAGAGAATGTCGAGGAACATGAATATGATGATTCAGTAGCGGAAGCTTGTGAGAAAGACCAATATCCTGAAGTAGATGGAAGTGACATTGTAACTGACTCTGTGGAAAACGAGCAAAAGCCATTTTCGATTGATGAAAATGAGAAGGAGAAACACGAAGAACTTCTTGCACTTCCTCCTCATGGTTCTGAAGTCTTTATTGGTGGACTTCCTCGGGATACATGCGAAGATGATTTAAGAGAAATGTGTGAACCAATTGGTGATATTCTTGAGGTTGGAACTCTGGCATATTCACTCATGATACTAATAATTTTATCTTTTTTGTTGGCAATTTGATCGCCAGTAACAATTTGATCTTGTTGTTTCTTTGCAGGTTAGACTTATGAAAGATAGAGATACAGGAGATGTTAAGGGCTACGCTTTTGTGGCATTTAAAACGAAAGAGATTGCACAAAGGGCCATTGAAGAGTTACATAACAAGGAATTTAAGGTATTTGTGGTGATTATTTGAAAATTACGTTGTCCTTAATGACAAAATTTTTTTTAGTGTTTGGTAGTTAATTATATTTTATTTTTTCATGATATATCAGGGTAAAACTTTAAGGTGTTCTGTGTCTGAAACAAAACACAGATTGTTTATTGGTAATGTTCCAAAAAACTGGACAGAGGATGAGTTCAGCAAACTCATCATGGGTGTTGGTCCTGGAGTTGAAAATATTGAGCTGATAAAGGTGCGGTTTTGAACTGATTTGTGCTTTTAGCTTACATTAACCTGTTTGAAGATTTACCTTTTCAGTGCCATTTCATATTATTTGTTACAGGACCCCCAAAATGCGAGCAGGAATCGCGGGTTTGCTTTTGTTTTGTATTATAATAATGCCTGTGCTGATTATTCTCGGAAGAAGATGTCAAATGCAAACTTTAAGCTGGATGGTAATACCCCCACTGTCACGTGGGCAGATCCGAAGAATTCACCTGATCATTCAGCTTCCTTACAGGTAATTTTCTTCCTCTTGATGGAACAAAGTTGTTAAAGTTGGTTTAAAAGCTGTTTACCTCTCATGTTCAGTTGATGTTGTTCGATATGATATTTATAATTGAGGTTCCCTGCTCTTTTTCCCTACCTGTTCTCTTTTCTCACTCTGTTTGTCCAAGCCCATGGATATATGTGTTTTATTTCGCTCCTTAAACAGAGCTCAGAAAACATGAAAACCTATAGATCTATCGAAAAGTTTATTAGGTCAGATGATAAGATTTTCTGAGTTACATTTTAGAACTGCGAGCTCAGTGAGTGTGTTTTACTTCTTCCTCCTTCTAGTAAATGGAGGCCATTGTCTGTGAAGTTTAGCCTCAATAGACCAAACTCTAGGTGAAGAATACAAAAGGCCTACAATCACTCCTATGCTTTAAAGTTAATTTCGTGAGTTTGTATAAAGTATTTGAATAAATAATCGGAGTAATTAATAAGAATCAACAACAAGTTTGACTTAGTTTCCCCCTGTGTCTGTGTGGAGTTTGATAAGGGAGATAAAACTGTCATCTAGAGGGTCAATTGTGTCAAGCTTGACTTATTGATTGGAAGTTAATGATCAGAAACCTGCTTAAATCTCATCTTTGGGACTAACTAGGGAATTTTCCTATGCAAAGGATATTTAAATTTGAAAGAAGCATTTATCCCAATGAAATAGCATCCCTTTAAACGGGACACATCATATTTTGGTGCATTTCTAATTGATGCGAACAATAAAACAATCATAAATAGAAAAAAAATGTCTTGGAATAAAAGAAAGTAGTAAAAAAGTTCCTTGATGGTCACGAGCTAGAACACTTGGAAACATTTGGTGAAACAGCGGATGATGAGATTCATTCAAGGAAAGCCAAACGTGTCGTTTAAATGAGTAGTATCCAATGATTTTGTTTTCATATATTATGTTGATTGTATTGCTGAATTAGGTTAAAGCTTAGACGTTTTATAGAATAATTGTGTTTTTAAAGAAAGGCAAGAGTAAAAGTATTGACAATTACTGAAACTGAAAGTGTCGTGGATGTTGATCTTTGGTTTTCTATGTCGCCTATATTCCCTGATGTTGACAGTTGTGATCTCCAGGAAACAAATATCATTCTGTTTCAGGCAAGAACATTTTGGCTTGGATACTGATAAATTTGTGGTTAAAGGTGGACATGCTAATGTAAACGACTTTTCATTAAAAATCAATGCTTTTAGGTTGCGTGTTGATAATAATTGTGCCCAAGGGGAGAAATGAAATTTAAGAGAGAAAGTAGCTAACGAAGGAGATCACTTTTTGATAACTGTATATTTTATTTATATTGATTTGACAAGAGGACTGCATGCGTATCTGCCATGGGAACTAGTGAAAAAACTAAATACAGTAACACCCACCACTATAGTAATTCTATTTATTCATCAACATAATGCTTTGTCCTTTTGACACGACTGAGGTGGGTATCGGGGGAAGTACGTCCATGGAGCATATATTTCTGTCATCTCTCTCTCTCACACACCCCCCCCGGGGTGGGGCGGGGGGGCGCGTGGGGGCTGAAAAAAAAGAAACAAAACATTGAAAATTTCCATGATTTGTACGAACAAAGTTCTGATTTTTTATGTGGCACAAGTTAACCCAACAATTTTTTGCACCTAACCCAAGGTCATGAAGCCAAAAAAACAAACCAGTCTAGGTTAGGTTGTTTTCTTGGCTTGTGCCCTTCTTGATGGTGTCTACAATAATTTGTATTCTTTAGTCAACTGCATTTTAAATATGCTAAACCATTTCATGAGTGAAGGTAAATCTCATAATATTTTCTGCGTGTAACTAAATGGTAAAAGCCTATGAAATATTAATCAAGTCGAGCAAATGAAAATCACAAGATACTGGGGTTGAAAACACCGTTTTGAAGAATAAACCTTGCTACAATAGTTAGATTATGAACAATAGAAGAGGATTGATTGGGGAAGACTGACCGATGGAGGATGAACAGAGGTTAGATAAGAAACTAATTGTTGATAAATTAGGAAATATGTCTAATAGGATTTTAAACAAGAGTGGAAGTATTTTAATCAAGAATAAAGTAGGAACAGAATTTGGTAGTTTAGTATATTTTGACAGAGCACAATCGCGTAATGTGATTTATATAGTTGACTCCATCTAGTGAGATAAGGCTTGTTGTTGTAGTAGTAGTAGTATATTTTTGTTTCAGTTAAATATGTTTATATGTGATAAAGTTATGCTTGGGCTTCTATAAATATCACACAATGTTGTAGAATCTCTTGGCAAGTTGAATCTAACTTCAATGCTGCTTCTACTAATGTGATATGAGATGACATAATGTATTCGTTTTCTTCTAAATCTTGTTTGGTATTCATTTTTTATTAATTAGAATAGAATAATTTGCCCCCAACATTGTGGAGGGATATTTAACTATGCTTTTTTTTTTTATTTAAAAAAAAACGAAAACCAAAGATCTGCAGTGGCGTTAAAATAAAGATAACACTGTTAGTTGATGCGATCTTTTCTTAGGGACAATAAGTTACAGAAATGAATAGTATTAGTTATCTTTCATATATATATATATATATATTTGCATATATACAGTGGACAAAACAAAAGGTAAAAAGTATGATTGATTGATACCTTGGATTGATGAGACATTAAGGATGGTAATGGATAGTAAAAAGTCGATCTTTTTTTTTTTTTTAAAATCTTATATATCTAGAGACTAGTGTTGTATATAAGTAATTACTTGATGTTTTCTGTGCCATTGTGTTTTTGGCATTTTCAGGTTAAAGCTCTTTATGTGAAAAACATACCTGAGAATACTACTACTGAACAACTGAAGGAACTGTTCTGTCGACACGGAGAAGTGACGAAAGTGGTCATGCCTCCTGGCAAAGCTGGAGGCAAACGTGACTTTGGTTTCATTCATTATGCAGAGAGGTCAAGTGCATTGAAGGCAGTAAAAGAGACAGAAAAATATGAAATAGATGGTACCCTTTTTGCATTCGTTCTCTATGCAAGTCTGTCTTTTAATTTTTTAATCTTTCATGTCCAAGTGGAATACTACTTTTCAGTCTCAATATATCTTCAATATATATTATAAAATCTGTAGAAAATTGCATTCGTAGGCCATGAACTGTTTGGCTTATTCTTCACGTTCCATGTAAATGTATGGGAGGCTTACATCTAGTTTCTATTCAAATTAAAACTATCACTAGTCTTATGATTTTATCTGTCAAACACGTTAGTTTATTCACTGTACTTAAATATATGCTTGATGGATTTGAACTGCAGGTCAAGTGTTGGAAGTTGTTCTAGCGAAGCCTCAAGCCGAGAAAAAAACTGATGGAGGTCATGCCTACAGTCCCGGACTTCATCCACATCCTGGGTATGGTGGTTTCTCAGGAAATCTATATGGTTCTGTGCGGCCTGGATATGGCGTTACTGGTGGTTATCAACAAGTAATTAATAACCTCCTACAGATATTTAAAATCAATGCTTTTCCTGCTCAATTCATTCTATTTTCTAATCTCGTTCCAACTTGCGGGTTTTTGCGTATAACTTGCGGGTTTTTGCGTATGAACAGCCAGTGATATATGGTAGGGGTCCTATGCCAGCAGGAATGCAGATGGTTCCAATGGTACTACCTGATGGTCGTATCGGCTATGTCCTGTAAGTTGCTACAATGCACAGGCGTGGATTTATTTTCTCAATCAATGTTATAGAAAACCCAAAATTAAACTCAAAATTTTCAATATCGGGGGCATTTTGCAGTCAACAGCCTGGTGCACAGATGTCAGCTCCCCGACCCCACAGGAACAACGGTCGAAGCAGTCAGCCGGGGCGAGGGGGAGGCAGCGGCAATGATGAGGGCAATCGCAGTAGAAGGTATCGACCTTATTAATGATAGAAGGCGGAGATTCAGATGTTTCTTGAGGCAACCTGCTTTTGGTTGGTGGTTAGGGACTTTTAGGGACCAGCGACTTGTAATTGCTTCGTTATATGCATCAAGATTTTATCTCAATCCCTGCTCGTTACTAGAAAGGTGGAAAAGCAGAGAAAGAATATAAATATATGGTTAAGGATTAGGGTCATGCATAATCTCTTAGGATGTGGTCGGTGTCTTCCGCTATTAGATGAATCAGCTGAGCAATTCAGTATCGTTTCTGCTTTGTAACCCTTGCCGGCTATTTTTATTTATAACCAGTTTAATAGAAGTTTGATTTCGGCAACTTATTATTACTATTATTCAATTTTTCAAGCTCAACTCCATACATCTCATCCGTTTATGGAAGCTCTAAAATGGTGAGCTATGCACGCAGAATTGCTCTACGTTGTTGGGAAGTCTAACGTTGTTTAGTTTGGTCATACCGGTGTTATAGCAGGTTTTTATTTTTATTTTTGGTTTAAAATAATTTTAAACTTAACTGAGGCGGTTATTCTTCTGCCCATGAAACTTGTTACAGAGGGCCAGTTAAGCATGCCGGCTGCTACTGTTCGGATGAAATGCCTAGTAATTCTGTAGTTTTGGAATGAGTTAATGTTTTGGTACTCGGTCATTTCTTCATTTCTGTTTTTTGGTCCCCTCTTCATTAATACATAAATTGGAGAGAAAAAATGAAAATTTTAAGTGAAGTAACAAGGAATCCTCCAACGTCTGATTTCGAGAAGACAAGATGAATTCCTCATAAAGGTTCGTATATATGAGCAAGGGCATGTAATTCTGCTTGTTTTCACCAAACACGCGATGATTCATTGCGCGACGACAGAATTCCAAACCTGTATCCGTCAAATCTTTTCTTCAACCAAGAAATCAAATACAGATTGTTGAAAATAAAATTATTATCCCTTCAGTAGTTGTATAAAGGTGACTCAAATATGCAACAAAATTGGAGGTGGACGAAAGGCATATTTACGGTTGGAATGCGAAAAGTTACAAGCTTGCTTGAACTCACATATCAGATTATATCAGAAAGCTCACGAAGATGCTTCTCCAGGTCGTCCAATTTATCACCCCACTCACTCTTAATACGCAGGGGACGAACATTGGCATAGTCCACATTACCGTCTGCATCTTCCCTCCGACTGCTCACAGGGGATGACTCCTCGTCCCTCCTCTGCTTCTTCTTCTTCTTCTTACGCTCGCTGGCTCTCTGCAATGCCCAGAGCACATCCGAGCCACTAATCTGAGGTCCCTCTCCTTCTTGCAGGCGCCGTCCTGGATTGGATTGAAGAGTCGTGAGGAGAGTGTGACCCGATTCGCCGACTTGGCCAGGGGAAACGCCGTCGTTCTCAAGGGTCGTCAGAGAGCGGCGGCGGCTGGGCTGAGCGGCGACGGCGGGGTAATGTTTGGGATTGGAAATGAGAAAATAGGAACAAGGAGCAGGTGGAGCGACGAGGGAGAATGAAGACCACATATCGTGTTCCTGTTTCTGACCCACTTTGGGAACTCTGCTAGGGAAGCTCCCCGAAGAAATAGCACTTTTTAAAAAAATTCGTTGTTAATTCCCTTCATCTTCATATTAATATATTACGTTTATGCCCCTTCAGGTTAGTCTTCATTCTAAATATAAAACTATTACAATTCTTTTACATAAATTTAGTTAACTTAAAAAGTAATATATAATATAATATTATATTATATGAGAATTTTTTTAAAAAAAAATTATGCTATATATATATAAAACTTAAGCATAAGAGGAATATGTGGCTAAAAAAATATGAAATATAAACAAAACAAAATAAAAGGCTGGAAATATCGGATCCCAAGTACCGTAGTCCGTAGAGGCATGAAGCGGTCATTATCTTTCACTTTCTTGCCACACTTGTGGCCTCCGATTTCGATGTCGTCTATTCACGCTTGCGTGGTAACTTCGCCGTTTGAAACAAAAATAGAAAGATTCATCTTGGTTTCCTTTTCAAAAAATAATTGATATTACCAATATTAGTTGTTTTCAATATGATCAACGTAAGTTACATATGAATATGATAATTGTTCCAAATTAATTGAGGTAATAGGTCGCACTTCAATTACAAACCTAAATGAATTGTTGTGTTCTAAAAAGATATTTGAATAAAAACTAAATTGTGGTTTTAAAAGTATTTTTATGGTTTATAAAGTAAATATACGGTGGAATTTGTCTCGTTTCACAGAAAAGTGTTTTAAAAGAACTTTTGAGGATTATTAAATGCCCCTTAAATCTACCTGCTCACAATCTAATGTCCTCTGATAAAATTAGCATCCATCAAATTCTTCTTTTTCATAAATACATCAAAAAGAACATACTGTCATATTTTCCAGGTTTTCCACTCTATCTTGACTCTCAATAATAATGATGTAATTAACAAGTAATAACTATTTAACTTTTGTTTAAGGAAAAAAAGAAAAGAAAAGAGAATCAAACATTAACATCCACGTGAAACTTCAACACCAATAACGTCATTCCACGTGGCGATTCACGCGGCGGGGACTTTAACCGGGTACTCATTCACCGAGTCGTCCCAGGGGTTTCCCCGCCAGTCTCCCACCTGAACGCCCCGTATCGCCCTCCACACAGCGCTGTTACACTTAAAACCCGAGCCGAAAGCTATCTGCCAGACCCGGTCACCCTTCCCGACCCGACCCTTTGCCTCCGTGTATGCCAGCTCGTACCACAGCGAACTGCTCGACGTGTTCCCGAACCTGTGCAGCGTCATCCTCGATGGCTCCATGTGCCACTCACTCAGTTGCAGATTCTTCTGCAACTCGTCCAGCACCGCCCTCCCTCCCGCGTGTATGCAGAAATGCTCAAACGCTGTTTTGAAATCTGGAATGTACGGTTTCACCTTCGTCTTCAGAAGCTTCCTCCTCATCAACGACACGAAGAACATGAACTGCTCCGAAAACGGAAGAACCAGCGGCCCCAGCGTTGTTATGTTTGTCTTCAGGGCGTCTCCCGCCACTGCCATCAGCTCTCTCGCTAAGGAAACACCCACCGTTCCTTTTTCATCCTCTCTTTGGTACACACAGTTGAAGCTCTTGTCGTCCGATCCCTTGTGGGTTCGCACCGTGTGGATTAGCTCGTACTTGGACCGGTCCCGATCGGAGGATTTGTTGGAGAGGAGGATGGCGGCGCCGCCCATGCGGAAGATGCAATTGCAGAGAAGCATTGAACGGTCATTTCCAAAGTACCAATTGAGGGTGATGTTCTCTGTGCTGACGACAATGGCGTAGGAATTCGGGTTCGCTTTTAAGAGATCTTTGGCTAAATCGATGGAGATTAATCCAGCACTGCACCCCATTCCTCCCAGATTGTAGCTTTTGATGTTGGTTCTGAGCTTGTAATGATTCACAATCATGGCGGAGAGAGACGGGGTTGGGTTGAACAAGCTGCAATTCACTATCAGTATATCAATGTCTCTGGGGCGAACTCCTGTTTTCTCGAACAGAGCATCCAAAGCTCCGAACATGACGGCCTCCGCCTCCGACCGGGCTTCCTTCATGTTCAAATTCGGCGGTCTGGCCGTAATCCCACTCGGCAAGTACGTCTCATCACCTAAACCGGCCCTGCTTGAGATTCGTCTCTGGAATTGGAGGTTGTCTCCTTCAAACCCGCCGCTTTCCTCCGTCATCTTGAGGAAACCTTCCACCGATATTTTCCGGTCCTGAGCGGGTTTGTAGCAGGCGAAGTCGACGAGGTAGACCGGTCTGGAGCGGGTGGCCCAGTACAGGCCGAAGAGAAAGAGGAGAACGGCGGAGGCCGCGAGCCTGGTGACGGCGTCAAGGTTATCGAGCTGAACTGTGCGGGCGGACAAAAGCCGGGACAAGTTTTCGAGCTTGAGACCGGTGAGTTGAAGCAGAAGAGAGAGAAAGAGAGGTAAGATGAAGGCGAGCTTAAGGACGGTGGCAGCGTTGCATGAGTAGCCATAACCCAACTTGACATACTTGAGCTTGACGGACTGCAGGAAGTCCGGTAAGCGTCGCCGGATTTTGATGACGACGGAGGAGGAATCCTTGAAGTCCATCTCAGCCGTTAATCTCTCCTTATCCATTTCCACGTTGTTGCTTGTGCTTCCCATTCTTTCTCTGCGTCTCGCTCCGTGTGTTTCTGCGCGCTGTGCAAAGGGATGTGCCTGTGTTGGTCTCTCAGGCTGAACGTGTGTCTGTCTGTTTGATTTTGATTGTCCAAGAGGTGGCGATTTGCCTTCTTTTATAAAGCTGAGTTTTGCCACACGCGCTTTTGAATTAGAGTTTTGCACTTTGCCGGAAGCTGAACTACAATTGACTGCTCCAGAAAAATACAAATAATATACTGCAATAAATAAAAGAGAACTGATCTTTTTTAAAATAAAGCTTAAATATCGATGGGGCTACGCCATTATTAATTATTATGCTTTGATCAAATTTTACTATTTTACTTTTAGTCCTTGTAATTCTAAGTTGTTAGTTTTAGTCTTTCTAGTTTGACAAAAAAATTTTTGTTCAAGTTTAACGAATTCTCCTTATATTTTTAACAGGTTTTGATTTTAATTTTTATATTTAAATTTAGACCAAATTCTTATGAAATTATAAGGATCAAAACTAATAATTTAAAAACCACATGGACCAAAACTAAAATTAGATCAAACTGTAATAAGCAACAATAATATGATCTATGATCAAATATTCAGTTAAGTGTAAATCGTGAAACTATAAAATACACAGTGTTTTATCACAATATCGGACGGCATTTTGTTTTGAGGGAAAAATAATGCAAATTTTGTTTACAAAGAAAATGTCAATGGGAAATTGTGTTATAAAAACAAGGCAGGCTACATGGACTAAGGGTATGATATGAAGGGGACAAGAAAGGTATTAATGTTGGTGACGAATATTGGGGGAAGTAGTTTCAGGAGCGATATATAGCTCAACCACTTGCGGAAACCAAAGGAAACAAAGTACAAATACATATTAATTTTAAAACCCAAAACTTTGTTTTGGCTTTCGTTTTCGTAACGCCGCTTGAAGGTTTTATTTGAGAGTATGCATGTGACACAAGCAATCAAATAAAGTATGTATCAGGTTTACTTGCTAATGGAAAAAAAAAGGCTTAACTGACATGAGATCATCATTTCCAGTATTTTCCCCGTATGGCTCTGAAACAGAACAGAGGGTTTCCTCAGAAATTAAAAGTAAAAGTGGGGTGTTTATGGAAAATAAAAGAAAATTGTGGGGGGTGGGAGGGTTCCAATTAAAGAGAAGAGGGTCGTATTATGGAGGCATACTGCATGCAGAGGAAAAGCCGTTGGTTGTTGGAAGCTGGCCATCAAGAAACCACAATTAATGGTCTTTATATATGCTACCCTGTCAAAACCTCCACCTCATTTCCCAAAATATATTATCATTTAATTTATATCGACTTTGTTTTTTTTTTTGGCTTGAATTTATATCGATTTTGACTTTAGAATCAATCTCCTCCCAGAATTAGTAATCCACGAAGCAATCCAACCATCTTTCCATTTTAATGTCATTCACGTTTTATTCATACGAGGGTCTAGTATCACTCCATATGTTTATTGCAATTATATATGTTGATGGAATCCTCATATTGTGACATTTGGTAATATTATGACATATGTCGTGTGCCTACAATAATTAAATATTTTTTTTAAAAAAATTTATGCATGTGTGCATTTCTTGTATAATACCCTAAGAAATTCAAGTTAGAAAAAAAAAGTGTAAGATAATGAGGATGGTTATGAAAGGCAATTCAATTTTCTCTTAACCAATCAACATTGGTAGCCCTAAAAAAGTGCAATATATTAATCATGAGACAGTGTGGGGAATTACAAGCTTGTTGACTTTTCTTTCAATAGTTGATCGGTTGGGTATGGCATGTGCAATTGTATTGATCACTCACCTGCAGTCCTACATATAGTTAGGTCGGTGGATGACGCAGGAAAAAATTGGCCAACAAATTAAAGTGACCAGAGATTTGAAAATGCGTGTGTGTGTGTGTAAATATATATATAACATTTTTTTTGTGATAAAAAAATTTATGACTTAGCTAGTCTACCTGGTTTTCCCCACTACAAACCCATTCCTCGGCGGTTCAAAAAGTCATTATTTCTTGAAGTGCCAAGTTGAAGGTTAAATTAATTCGCATTCAACGGTATTGAAAATGCTTTATCAATAAAACCATAAAAATATTCAATCCTATTTATAAAGCACTTCTAATATGTTTCACACAGATCAAGAAAAATCTTAAACTGTATTAACTTTTTATTAAAATATAGTAACTTTTCAATTTCACCCATATTTAATATATACACATTTCAAAAAAAAATCTACACTATAATAAATAAAAGACAAAAGAGTACATTCACGCTAAAAATTTAATAAAGTGACATATAAATAGGATCTAAAAAAATCTTCTCTCTCTGCCTTATAAATAAGACTATAGGAGTATATAAAATTTGAACACACACATATATATGCTCCCTCCCAGTCTGCAGAGTACATTAATTATCACCCATTCTCGCTTGATTATTTTTTTCATAAATAAAGATATATTAAAAAAGAAATTATGTTTCTTACTCCTAATTTAAAACTCAACATTTTGATCCACAGGACTTGTGATTAGTTGCAATTTATATATAAAACCGAAAGTAATATAATTTAGGAGATATAGTGGGTGTGTCTGTGCAAGTGGTGCGAGGGTAGATAAACACAATTTATGGTCCTTCATATTTCGGGGTCTCTCTCTCTGTTTTTTTTTTTGACCAAAAGGGGTCTCTCTCATTCAATATACTACTTTTATTATTAAATATCAGAGTTAATTAACCAATTTGAATCAATTAAAAAAATTAGTTAAATTAGTTATTTGCAATAAATATATGTTTTTTTCTTATAATACACTTGAAAAAATAGATAAATAAAATAGACAAAATATATGTGGATCTTATATTTAAAATCAAATTAAATATCAAAATAGCTCTTATATTAACAAACCAAACCAGTACTAATTAACTATGAATTGAGAATGAGAGTCACATGTTGAAATTTTTAGAAAGCCATTCGGTTCTTGTAGCTCACCGGCCAAAATCCTTTGATTATTTTATTATTATTATCATTGGTTGACTATGTTTTAATGTTGCCTTGTCAACAGTCATATTCATAAGTCTCCCTTGCTAAGCGAAGGCTCGTTTTCCTTGCCTTTTTTTTTTTTTTTTGTCTTTTTTGTGAGCATCCTAAAATCTTGGAAGGTCAATCTTTTAATCAGATTTGAGAAAATATTCAAAGATTTGACATTCTTAATCGCGATTAGATTATTATCTCTTCTCCTTCCTATATTATTTATCTACTTAAATCACTGCTGCTTTTGTTCTCCGATAAAAAAAATACAAAAAATGCATGATGATTGATTAGGAAAAATCATTATGATGAGTCCCGGAAAAAAATATATACTCCTCCGATCCTAATTATAAGACCCAATTGACTTATTTGAGGAGATTAAGGAAGTAAGTTAAGTTGATTATTTATAATAAATAATGGTTGTCATTCCTAAACTATCCTTGCTAATTAAGTATATTGGCTAAAACTATCATTATTAGAAGGATTATCTTGAAAAAAATGCATAAATATAAGAGACAAAATGGATTGGGGTCTTATAATTAGGACCAAATAAAAAGTCAAATGGGGTCTTATAATAAGGACCGGAGGAGTATAATAGTTAAAAAGTCTTACAACGAGTGAGTAGTATAAATATGTTATCATTTTCTGAACCGAAACTTATTATTGTGTACTGTTCATTTTTATTGTGAGACTTGTTTTGGGATGATTTTCCCTAAATAATTAATACCATATGTTCAATGATGAAGTAATGGACCAGGCTGAGTTTGTGCTGAAAATTGCCTAACTTGATGGACTATAATTTTTGTTATATGCACCTATCAGAATAATGAGGGTTTTTCCCATAATTACAATATTGATTTCAACACACACACACACACGGGCATTTAGGTGCGTTCAACAGGTGTTCGGTGTTCCCATTGTATTGAATTATCCAAGTAGTGATTGTTCATATCATCGTCATTATCATCAGTTATAAATGGTTGAATTTGTTTTATCTTTATCACTGTAATAAAAACTCTGATGGGTTACAGTTTACGAGCTGGTTTCATGGCAATTGTTTTTAAGGTATAAATACCGCTAAAGTTTGTTGTTCTTTTCAATTATTCTGATTTCTTTGGCCAGAAATATTTGATTCAGATTTATTTTAAATTGAATTAAACTGAAGTCTTGAGAGTCTGGTAATATTACAGAGCGTATATTATATGAACTTTCTTCTTTTTCTTTTATTTATTTTTAATATGTCATTAAATTTTTTTAATTAACATTACTTCCATTAACGGATATACAAATGTAGTTTTACTAATCACCTTCACCATATAGTTCATACAATTTTTCTGATCAAAATGTAAAATTTAATTAAAATTTTCTTACTTATCGCCGTATCTACTTTCCTTTTTTTTTTTTTTTCTTGTTTATAAAAGCCTTCATAGTAGCTTATTCGAAATCGCTAACTTTTTTGGGGCCAAATGTTTATTACAAGAGTTGGAAAAAAAAAATTACCGCAAAAAATAAAAAAGGACCTAATGTAATTTTCCAAAGACTAATATAAAACCTCACTTTTACATATTTATAATTATAATCTGTACAAAATGATTTTGAAGAATTAGCCTGACCCGCCCAATAAAAAGTTAGACACAGAAATCCACTGATGATGTTACATGCGTATGAATTTAATCAGGTAATCTCATTTGAGGACATAGTTAGATTATACTCGAGATGGCTTATGATGAATAAAACTACATGCATAGTTAAATCAAATTTTTGTCTACATGCGATGGTAAATCACATTTATGCTGTGGATCGATGTGTGTTGGTATGGTGTGCGCAGTTGAAATAGAAGAGCAAGAGATTCATAAGTCTCCCCTTGCTAAGCGAAGGCTCGTTTTCCTTGCTCCTTTTTTTTTTTTTTTTTGTTTTTTTGTGAGCATCCTAAAATCTTGGAAGGTCAATCTTTTAATCAGATTTGAGAAAATATTCAAAGATTTGACATTCTTAATCGCGATTAGATTATTATCTCTTCTCCTTCCTATATTATTTATCTACTTAAATCACTGCTGCTTTTGTTCTCCTATAAACAAAAATACAAAAAATGCATGATGATTGATTAGGAAAAAATCATTATGATGAGTCCCAGGAAAAAAAATATATAGTTATTAAAAAGTCTTACAACGAGTGAGTAGTATAAATATGTATCATTTTCTGAACCGAAACTTATTATTGTGTACTGTTCATTTTTATTGTGAGACTTGTTTTGGGATGATTTTCCCTAAATAATTAATACCATATGTTCAATGATGAAGTAAGGGACCAGGCTGAGTTTGTGCTGAAAATTGCCTAACTTGATGGACTTCAATTTTTGTTATATGCACCTATCAGAATAATGAGGGTTTTTCCCATAATTGCCTAACTGATTCAGTTTTGAAAGAGGCCGAAAGTATAAGCAATCTCTTCGGCTTTAATTTGGACGTGATGGCTTCAGATTGCTTCATTTTGCTTTATTTAAGCGAAATTAAGTGGGCCTCTCTACATATTTAAATGAGTATAAAAAACCAAGTGATTTATGTATTATACTCTTCATTTGGCGTATGCAAGAGAACATCAACCATAATAGGTCCTTTTGTGCGTTGGTGATTTTTGTAAAGGTAAAATAGTACTACAAAACAATCCAATCCAATCCTTGTCTTGTGAAGTTGAAACATTCGTAACATTAAATATTACTTCCCACCAACTCAAATAAAAGAGGGTTTCAGTATTACCCACCGTTGTTTTGTCACATTCTCATCTGCTGCATAAAAACCTGCGTTTATATACCACACACGTATGTGGTTGTGGTCATCCACTTATGTTAAAGCGAAAAAAATTTATATCATTGCAAATCAATAATCAATGAATAAAACCAATGCATCTGGGGAAAAAAAAAAAAACGCAGACAACTAAGGATGATGTAGAGACTACAATCTTTGATGTGTAACAAACTGCATTTTTATATTACTTTCCATGAAAAGATCTAATTTCAAATCACTTGACGTGTTTGCGATTGAACTAATAACCCACCACTTGATAATAATCCACATCCTGCTTTAGAAGAAAGCACAGCTACTAGGATTGAAAAAAATTCTCTAGCAAGATTAACCATCTGACACGCGTGCACACATATTTCTAATCCTATTTATAATTATTACCAATATTTTTCATTAGAATCAAGAAAAATATTAAGCATCATTAACTTCACTTCAAAATTAAAACTTATCGATTTTACCCTTATTTAAACTCCTTTCCGGTCCTTAATATAGGACCCAATTGCTGAGTTAGTTTTGGTCCTAAATATAAGACCCATTTCTCATATTTATCAATTTTCTCTAAATTACCCCTATGGATACTCCATCAACCATAATCAAGTAGAAGATAGAGAGGGGTATTAAGAAAGATGATTATGGTATTTTAGGAAAAACATGTCACAATTTTTATAATTAACTAACTTACCTAACTTTATTAATCTAATCAAATTAGTTAAATGGGTCCTATATTAAGGACAAGAGGAGTATATGCACTTCCTAATAATAAACAATCTACGTAAGAATAAATGAAAGGTAAAATAATATTTTATATTAAAAATTTAATAACGTGACTTATAAAACAAAAAACATTCTCTTTCTATTTTATAAATAGAACCAGAAAAGTGTTAACTATGGGTACAGTACTAAAAGAAAAAAAATTGTCATCATAGTTTTCGTTAGTACTATTATACCCATAGTTTTTAAATTCAAGAAAAAAACAAAAGAAAAAGCTAACAGTGTTTTGCAATGGTGAGACAATGAAAATGGTGCATGAACACTTTACACAAGGCTATATGCAAATACTTGTACATTCATCAACCAGAAAGGCAGCCAAAACCTCTTTCCAGTCTCCTGGGCATGATCGAGCTATCCACACTTGATAGAGCTAATAATAAAAGTTTAAATGCCCAATGTGACTGCAACAATACGCCCACTAATTGTGTGGGCCAATACTGTTTCTCCTTTCAAACATCAACTTAGTCCATTCCAACTGATACATGCTCGGGCACTGGCCAAAAACTCATGCCTTCAGTGAACCACGATAAGTTTACACACTCACTACCTGCACAAAAATTAAAGAGAATGAAAATGAAGACACGAACCCAATATGATTGCTCTCTCTACACTCCTACAGCATATGCGGACAACATAGAGAGCGGTAGTGAGATGTCATCAGTCATCACAGACCAATATAAGTCCCTTATAGCAGAGAGTTTGGGGAAGGTGACTTACCTTGATTGTTCAATTTTTCCTTCATTTTGAGCTTCTGTTTTACCTTCATTCTTCCCTTCAGCTTGCCAGACCACATCTTGCAAACCTGACGAGAAGTTTTTGTAGAACTGCGTATAAATAAAAAAGAGGGTGACCTGTCAATCAACAGCTAAACACACACTGATCCTGAAATACGTGTCTCTGCTCTTTCCAGTTGATATGTATTTGAGAAGAGCCAAGAGGAAAGAATTATAAAAATGAATTCTACTAAAGAAATTAGATGCAGAAAACCCAATAGTTGAGCAGTTGCAGTAAGAGGCCCAAACGAGTATCTTAAATCTTCTCTGTTGCCAGAAAATAAAATTACAATGAATATTCAAATGCCACTTACCTTGTGAAACTCCAGTGTATCACCCCCGGTCTTCCGCAACTCGACCATGTGCAATGATGGTGCCACTTCAAAAACCTGAAACCAAAGTGAGAACCATATATATTGGAAGACATTAACGAATGCATAAAGCATTGTGATTTCATTTTTTCTTATCCCCTAATTAACATCGCGGACATTCTTTGGCTTTGCCTGAGACCCCCCTTTCTTCGTTAGACCCTTTTTTTTGGGCCATCCCTTCGTTAGACTGTGTTATTTGTCAAGTAATAAGAATATTCCAATTGCGTTGTATGGCATTTATGAGCTACAGCCCATTTAAGGTCTTTTTCGACAGTCAAGTAATCAGAAGACTCCAACTGATTTATATGATATTTCATGAGCTACGACCAATTTAAGGTCTTTTGCGACAGTCAAGTAACTATACAGCAAGACAATACACTTTTAAGTGCATAAATGTGATTATCTTCTGTGCCTCCAAAACAATTCGACATCAATATTCGCCGTGGTTTGTATTCTGTTTATATGACACAAATTCATGTCAATATCACTAAGAAGCAAATTCTCCAGCTCACATTCAAAAGTCAGGTCAAGTACTCAAGATCAGAAATATGAAATTACCAGTCTTTCTAAGATGATCAGTGAAGAAGAAAACTAGAACCTTTTGTTTCCTTTTGACATGCACATGGGAAAAATGTTCAAATAATGTTGAAGAATGACTCAGTACCTCAGTAGCCACAGAGAGGTGCCCCTTCCTTCCACTCTTGTCGCCTTGAAGCTTCATCTGCAAAATTTAATCTGCATAAGGCTAGGTACTCTTGCAGCATAATTAGTGTTTTCCCTTCTTGAATTAAAAATCCTCACATCTGAAATAGCTTGTGGCAGATAGACATTATGCATGGTCGAAGTGACAAGATAAACTATTACCTTGTAGTTTCGCCTGTGAACATTGAATCCCAATGGTTTGGCAGCTTCCTCAATTTTAGATATAATTTCATGTGCAGGGCCGCTGAGAAGTAAATCGTGTTTCTCGCTTCACAATACCCTGATTTAGAATATTACAGAAAACACACATTATTAACGAGAAACAATAAATACATACTATCATTATTTTGTAATACATCTTCCCCAAGGAATAAACTCCTAGGGTGAATTCAAATTAGGCTTTCAATGAACATACTCAACAAAATTGATAGGAAAGGAATATCAACATGGTTCACATTTTATGACTAGGGGGTGATAAGTCAAATTATATGACTTGTAATCTGAACAAACCATGTATAATATGAATAGCATAAAATAATCAAGGCATAGACTAATTTTTACTCACCATCTCTTTCTCAAACAAACTGTCAAGATTGAAACTCTGTGACCTCGAAATGAGCTCAAAAGCATTCATAGAGACGGGCTTCTCTTTCCTTTCTGTCACAAGGTTTTCCTACAAAAAAAGTAAATATATAAATTAAAAAAAAAAATCAGACACTGACTTCCTAACAAAAAAACATTTAAAATGTGTTACATAAAAATAAAACAATTTGAAAAGTAAGATTGCTCCAGTTTTACTACACTGTGTTCTTTGTAGAACAAGTGTCAGTATTTAAGGAAAACATTGGGTTAAAGAAATTGAACAGACATTGCAAAAAACCAAGTACCTTAGAATCATTGAAGGCCGCAGCTACGTCATCTACATTTATACCCTCTTCCTCTTCAAAACATGGTGGTTTGTATCCTTCCTTGAACCATTTATCTTCCAAGAGTTCTGGAATTTTTATCCTCTGCAAAAGGCAACCTAATGTTTAAAAAGAATATATCACGCTTCCAGCTGGGTGTTTTTGAACCACATATAAAAGACACTAGGGTCAATAAGAGGATTAGAAATGGACTGGGAAAACAGAACATAAATGAGACCGAAAGCTTTGATAAAGTGGGAAAAAGAATGCACGAAAGTGCTAGAAGGATTGAGGACTCACTGTGAGAGGGTTTGGATCAAGAATACGACTCAGTAGTTTCTTTGCATCCGGCGGAAACCATGATGGGTATGAGAATTCAGCATTGCTAATCTGAAATATACTAGAATTATTGATTTTTCCTTCCAAATGACATAATACACAGGCTTGTTTTTCATAGTTGATTCTCAGTCATCATAATCTGAAACAACTTACTTTCTTATACAAAGCCATTTGATTTGGCTCATCAAAAGGTAAGTATCCAGCCATCAGAACAAAGAGAATGACACCACATGACCAAATATCAGCCGCTGAACCATCATAGCCTTTAGCATTAAGCACCTGATGCAGACAGCACATGAGATGACACTGAAAAAATTGGAGGACTCCAGTGGTATCCCTTTACACAAATTGAAGACATATACTAGGTACCTCAGGAGCAACATAGTTAGGGGTTCCACAGGCAGTGCGCGCAGCAGCGCATCATCCTGCATGATAAGAGAGAACCTGAATAAGAGTGTTTCTTTCATGCAACCTAAAAAACTTTCAACTTCATTAAGTAAATAACACCCTTTCACATTAAAATTAAGTTGAATCCTAAACCTTTGCAAACATCAAGGGCAAACGGGCAATAAGTCACTTTATCAAAATCTGAGAGAGTTAAAAGAGACAACATCTTAAAGCGTCAGTCCGACTTCAAAATATTTGAGGATAATGAAACCAAATCAATCAGCAATAATTGACATTGGTTGACCATGAACTAATAAATGATTTGCAATACAGATTGAAGCTGAAAAACATAGCTTGCCCAATGCCAAGGAATAAATAACTAAAACTAGATAGCTTCAGGAAAAAAATAACGGGATGGCAATAAACACTTAAAACTTCCGAAAAAGCTCATTTAATCATAAAGACAAGCAAGATGCTTATGACAATCAGTAGCAGATAAATACTCACTCGCTGAGAGTATGTACTCAGTCCAAAATCTGAAACTTTAAGAATACCGTTTGAATCCAGAAGAAGATTCTCAGGCTGCGAAGTACAACGAGGATGGAGTTGAGTTTTTGCTTTAACAGAAATATACAGAATAGGAGTAATACTGAATACACTTGTAAACCTATGATAAGGAGAAACATCAAGAGGAAATTTTTAGACCTTCAAGTCTCTGTGAAAGACGCCTCTACTATGGCAGTAATCAAACAGCATTAAAAGTTGTTGGAAAATATTGCCTTGCTTCATTCTCCTTAAGTCTCCCATCATTAGCCTAGAAATCAAAGAGGCAATAAAGCGGATCCTTTAGCTACAGACAAATGCTAGGTCATCAACACAAGGCATCAATGTGCTTAAAGAAATAGCAAGCATATTTTAATGTACTGTCCCTTGAAAGGAATAGGAAAAAGAAGGAAGAACAATAGTATCAAAAAGAAATATATGCGGAAAATATAGTAACTTACTATTTTGTCAAATAGTTCTCCCCCACTAACAAATTCCAGGACAATGTAAATCTTTGTTTTGCTTGCCATCACCTATACTTAAACAGAACGCATATATTTAGTTAGAGACGTTCAATTAAATGCATCTGAAGAGTAGAAAATGAAATTTTCATCCAACATTTTAACCCAAGAATCAAGAATGTAAATTTCAATATTTGTAACAACAAATTCTGCCAGAAATTATTCTAACATGAAGATATGACTATTTAAACACATCCCTGCGATTAAGCTTCTCATAGCAAGTGTGCTTAATTTGGCTTTAACACGTCATCCACAACATCATCAACCACGTGGGCTTAGTGAGTTGCCGAGCACTAAGAGCGTGTATAGCACAAAATGACCTTCCAAATTTGTAGCACATGGGTGTCCGTTAACCTCTTGTTTTTCTAAATTACTCAGTAAACTTTTTTTTTTAAAATATGAAAATGAACCTTTTTATATTTGAAAAAAATTAGTTAACGAAGAAGTATCATCCCAGAATGCAGAGACTTTTCGGATTCAAGCACTTCAAATGTGATTGTTACGCTACCAAGACTAACGCTATAATAGCTCTCGCTCTCAAGAGGTTGAACTTATGTGCTTTATTAACAAAATATATGACTGAAAATGCCAACATTTCTGGAAAAAAACCACTTCTCTGATCCAAGTAAATTAAAAAAACTGAAAAAGGATGGAAAAGGGCATTTTACCTCAAAGTAAGAAGCCACTTCTCTGTTTCAAGTGCAAAAGATTTAAAAAAAAAAAAAAAAAGAACTTGAAATTTGAATGGTACCTCAAATATGTTAACAACATTTGGATGTTTGATCAGCTTCATCGTGGATATTTCTCTCTTCAGCTGCCAAGAATGAAGAGCAGGTTCCATTACTTATATCATTTTTATTTCAAAAAAAAAGGGCTTAGTGAGTTGCCGAGCACTAGAGCGTGTATAGCACAAAAGCCCTTCCAATTTGTAGCACATGGGTGTCCGTTAACCTCTTGTTTTTCTAAATTACTCAGTAAACCGTGTATAGCACAAAATGCCCTTCCAAATTTGTAGCACATGGGTGTCCGTTAACCTCTTGTTTTTCTAAATTACTCAGTAAACCTTTTTTTTTTTTTAAATATGAAAATGAACCTTTTTATATTTGAAAAAAAAGTAGTTAACGAAGAAGTATCATCCCAGAATGCAGAGACTTATCGGATTCAAGCACTTCAAATGTGATTGTTACGCTACCAGACTAACGCTATAATAGCTCTCGCTCTCAAGAGGTTGAACTTATGTGCTTTATTAACAAAATATATGACTGAAAATGCCAACATTTCTGGAAAAAAAACCACTTTCTCTCTGATCCAAGTAAATTAAAAAACTGAAAAAGGATGGAAAAGCGCATTTTACCTCAAAGTAAGAAGCCACTTTCTCTGTTTCAAGTGCAAAAGATTTTAAAAAAAAAAAACTTGAAATTTGAATGGTACCTCAAATATGTTAACAACATTTGGATGTTTGATCAGCTTCATCGTGGATATTTCTCTCTTCAGCTGCCAAGAATGAAGAGCAGGTTCAATTACTTATATCATTTTTATTTCAAGAAAAAGAAAAAGAAACACAAGATGCTATACGCAGGTTCTAGTAAGTATAACTATGCAGGGAAAACCGGCAGTCAAGGTCACCATATAAAAATAATGACAAGGCGCTATAAACTACAGGCAAAGGCTCGAGAAATTGAGGCACCACTCATTTGAAGCAATAAGCATTATATTAATAGCGCAACAGGGTCTGAAACCCGTGTAGGGTCATCAGGAAACAAGCGCAAGCGACACGAAGCGCGTAAAGAGGGCATATTAATTCACGATGAAGCTTGAATTCAAGATACAGATTGCAGCTACCTGTTCCACCATCTTGTGTCGAAGCACATGATTGCGGTCAAGGATTTTGATGGCGACGTGATTCCCTGTCTCAACGTTTCTCGCAAACTTCACCTTGGCGAAGCTACCCTCGCCAATGGTTTTGCCCAGCTCGTATTTTCCCACGCGGGTCCGAGATTTCGCGGCATTCATACTCACGTTTGCCTTCAAGTTCTGAATTTTCTGGTGTGGGTTTGTATATTGGATACTTTGGAGGGGAAATAAAACGAAATGAAGCTCCAAAACTGATGATTTTGTCTCTTGTGGAATGGAAAACGAAAAATCTGTGCGGAGATGAGGACGAAAGAGAGAGTGATCAATGGATGAAGAAGATAAGTGCGCGTCTGAAGCGTGTGGGTCAGTCAGAGCATGAGGCGGGTCCCACTATCTATTCAGCAATTGTTTCGGTTATCGGTTATCGCACTTTACAATTGTCATAGAAAACAAAGCTGATAAATTATTAACTACTTACTAATGACGTGCGTCCTAATTTAAGAGCCAGTTGATTAATTTGAAGAAATTAAAAATCCTAAATAGGTGTTTTTTTTCTTAAAATATCCTTACAAATAAAGTGTATAATTAGAACTACTGTTGTGTAGAATGGTTACTTTGGAAAAAAAAAATAAATATGAGAGACAAGTGGATTAGTGTCTTATATTTAGGATCAAAATAAATTCAAACAAAGTCTTATTAAGGATCGGAGGGGGGGTTAGTTATTAGATGATGTTGTTATTATTTGATGAGATTTTTAATATATAATTATGACAAAGATTCTTTATCAATAGCACGATTCGAACTTAAATTTTATGAGTTATAAGCCGAATAATCTTATCAGTTACACCAACTCTTATTAGCAGTATTTATTTTACTACTTTGCTTCTTAATATAGGACCAGATTATTAAGTTAATTTTAGTCCTAAATATAAGACATATTTATCATATTACTAATTTTTCTAAATTATCCCTATGCACTCTTTCAACTATAATAAAAATAAGTGAGGGAGTACGGAATAAAGAAATATGGTTATGGTATTTTAGAAAAAACATGTCATATGTATAATATAACTAACTTACCTGATTTCTTAATCTAATTAAATTAGTTAAATATGTCTTATATAATAAGAGAAGAAGAAGTAGTTAATAAAACTTATAATGAATGTAGAGAAATTACATTTAAAGCTTATTCATCAATGTCATGCATGTTACATGATCGTTTGCCCATGCCCCGTGGAAGGTAAACTAATTAATCCAATGAATTCCTATTTGTCAACCAAATTGTTGACTTGATTGATTTGACCTCGTTATTAAAATCTTGTATGGGTTTGATGTTCATCGTAAGATACATATTAAAAAGAACGCATTTGTACAGACTCACTCCAACCGGTTAATTAACCAGGGGGTAATTAAAAAAAACTTTAGTATCACGGCATTCTAACTTGGATATATATACTCCTCCAATCCTTAATGTAAGATAATTATTAAGTTGATTTTAGTTCTAAATATAAGACCCATTTATTATATTTATTAATTTTTTCTAAATTACCCCTATGGATATTCGGTCAACCATAATCAAGTAGAAAAAGGAGATGGGAATTAAGAAAGATGATTAGGGTGTTTTAGAAAAAAAACGTCACATTTTTATAATAACTAACTTATTTAACTTTATTGATCTAATCAAATTAGTTAAATAGATATTATATTAAAGAGCGAAGGAGTATATATATTATGTTTGTAATATGATCACTTAATAATTTGATATACAAATGTTTATTTGATTTTGTTATGAAACGATAAAAAGTCGACCAGAACATGTCATGCAAATTCAATTTCTTAAGTGGAACTAATTAACGTACGAACAAGCTGTGGAGGGTAGTTATATAATTAGGGGGGGAGCAAGGGATGAATATTGCCATCAGCGATGACGTAGTACGGGTAATAAATTAAATTTTCCTTTTGCCTTATTATTATTGTGATGATTATGATTTGCGGAATAATGGCCTTTGGTGGTATTAAATGCTGAAGGCTCAATTATTGTTTGGTTTTGAATGCTGACCAGAATATTATTTGTCTTGGAAATAAAAAAAAGTTATATTCTTGTGTTGGTGAGTGTAGAAGAGCAGCATTACATCCAAAAAGTTGATAATAACCAGTATTGTGGCATGCTTTATTAATAACAAGCTACTCTTCTTATGTATGAGCAACTTTTAATATTTTCCACGTATACTAAGAAAAACTTAACCATATCCTTTTGTGTTTTATTATAAAATCTAATTTTTTGAATAGGTTTGTCTTTTTTATAAGGTCCTTTTTAAGTTTGATCTGAACATTTAATGCATTATTATCTATTTTACTCTTAGTTTAATGCATTTAATACATTCTTTTTTCATTTATTCACTGTTACTCTCTCAGATCTACCCATTTTTCTATATAGGGGTATATTTGAAAAAAAAATTACATTTTCTACATATTAATTACTTTTACTTAATTTTAACTGTTTTTTTAAACCACGCAATTTAGTTAAAAGAATCTTATAATAAGGGATGGAGTAGTATTAACTCTATTATAAAAATATAACAATTTTTTAACTTTAATACACACATTTCAAAAAAAACTATCTATAGCAATAAATAAAAAAAAGTATATTTATGGAAAATTTAATAAAGTAACTTATAAACAGGATCGAAAAAAACCTTCTTTTTTCTTTTTTCTAGCCCATAAATAGGATTAAAAGAGTACTACTTTGGAGTTTGGACTCGATGGCATTGCATGACTCCCCATCGCGCATAATCATAGCTGGGCCTTCCCCCGCGCATATCTGATAGCCCATCGTAAAGGGCTAACCTGTTTAAAAGACGATAGATCGCAGGCATCAAACAGGCTATAATTAATTTAACAGGCCATTATAAAAGACTCATAACATAACATTTTGAAAAGGAAAAAAAAATTCTCATACTTCATTTTGATTATTAGTGGTTTAAGTGCAATTACATAGTTATTGACATGTTTTAAATGTTGTTATGAAGGAATCAATCATCCGTATCAGGGAAAACGAAAACATAGGGCCTGTTTGTTTTTGTTCTTTGTTTTCTTATTGTCAAAACAATTTTATAAATTGTTTCTTAGAATAAGTTTTGAAAACAAAAAACAAAAAAAAATTTGTTTGGATAATAATTTTAAAAATCATGTCTTGAAAAAAATTATAGAAAATCACACTTGGTAGGTGATAGCTGTCGCTAGTAATAATAAATGGTGGATAGTAGGTAAGAAGAGAATAAAATTTTTCAGAATTTTTCAAAACAAAAAATAAAAAACACAAAAACAAAAACAAAAACAAGAAAACTTGTGAAAGTTGTTTTGGTTTTTTAGTTTTTAAAAACATGTTACTGTTTTTTGTTTTTTAAAACAAGCAACTAAAAACAAATTACCCAATCAGTTTTTTTGTTTTTCTGTTTTTAAAAACTAAAAATTATTTTCAAAACAAGAAACCAAACAGGCCCATAATTTCCAGCCCCTCCCCCAAAAAATTAAAAAAGATTCACTGAATCTGGCGACCAAAACCTCACAACATGATCGAGGGCCAGAGGAGGGAAAAGAAAGAAAGTATTCACTGAATCTCAAGGATTTGCGCTTCTCTCTGGACCCATCCTTATCTTACCGCATTCGCACGCTTATCCCAAATTGACTTTGTTCCCCATATAATTTAGTGCCTAAAAAATCAGTGCCCATTTTAATTTACGTCTAATTGCATATCATTTTGATAATTTTTTCCCATAGAGTTACTGCCTTCTAAATTAAATACTAAAAAAAAATCACACATTTTCCTTGTTTATTATGCAGATCATAAAAAATAAGCCGAAACATTACTAGCCTGTGTTATAAATTCATATTTATATATTGATATGGATTGTCTGCGTAAGTGGTAAGGAACTGATAAATTTTTATATACAGAATATAACTTTGCTTTACGGAGTACTGTGAGCACTTTAATTTAGTTATTCTTACCAATAAAATTTTAAATACGGTATTTTTCTTCCCCCACTTTTTCTTACTTTTTATTATGTAATTTCATTTAAAATATAAAGTGTCATGAATCAGAGTTGGAGTTCAGAGTTGAGCCCAGGAAAAGGCAACGAGGCCTTTGGGTCAAACCAAGACAAGTACAAGTGGGCCACTTCGCTAGGTCATCATTTGCTCACACGCTTTAACTTCGTGGTTTGATCATGTCTTTTTGGAAAAATTGAAAAAAGCTTCCCTGATTTAACATTTACAATCCTTGTTCACCTCAGTTTTTTCCCAAAAAACATACTAAAGTAAAAATTTAAGCAGGTTAAAAGTCTTTAAAGTGTTTTGGTTAAATAAGAAAAAACCCACTTCAAAGTACTCACAAAAACCTATGTATAGATCGAAACAGAGAAACCTTGCGGGTATGAAGGTTACATAAGCCCGTAAATTTTTTGGGCCTCCATCTCACGACTACTCTAAAATTTGTAAATGAAATTAAAGATGAAAATATTAATTTGACCTTGACGAAGTTTAGCCATTAAAATATTAATTTAGTAACTGAATACAAGTAATCAAATTTATTCTGGTCATCTGCTAATATTATACTATCTTCGGTGCTTATTAAGATTTAGTTGACTAATTTGGAGAAATTAAAAAAATGAGTTAAATTAGTTATCTGTAATAAATAAGTATTATCTTTTTTAAAATACCATTATTAATCATGTGTACTAGTAAAGCTACATGTGCAACTACTATAAGGCATATTTAAAATAAATAAATATAAGAGAAAAGTAAATTAGAGTTATATATTTAAAACCAAATCAAATATTAAACCAATTCTTATATTAAGGATTGGAGTTAGTGAGAAATGATGATTTGAAAGCAAATAAACAACCCACAGTTTGGTCAATAAAAGTAAAAACGGGGGAGAAGCACAACAATAAACACAGTTAAATAGAAAATGGCTTACATCATGCTCATACTTATGTGGTAGTTTCCAACTTCCCTTTGTTTTCGCTTTATTAAAAAAACTACAATCCATTTTTCCCCGTTTTTCAGTTTGGAAAGTTGATTAGCCTCCTTTCAGTTTTAGGTTTATACATATCATTGACTATTGATTTTATTAACAGCCTATAGATACGACATCTATGCACAGCTATATAATAATACTCTTCCGGTTCTTAATATAAAATCTATTTAACTAATTTGATTAGATTAAGAAAGTTAGGTAAGTTAGTTAATTATAAGAAATACAATATGTTTTTCCTAAATTACCATAATCATCTTTTTTAATATCTTCTCTTCCTCTTCTACTTGGATTAGGGTTAAGAGAGTATCTATAGACATAATTATGAAAAAACTGATAAATATAAAAAATAGATCTTATATTTAAGACCAAAATCAATTCAATAATTAGATCTTATGTTAAAAATCAGAAGAGTATAAAAGAAATCTCAGGATGTGTCAAAATACGTAATCATTTTCTCTTTTAATAATAACGTTTTGGTCACTATTTCTTTTCACTTACGGGGAAAAAAGTGAATTAGCTCACGGAGGTCAAGACACATTTTATTTAGCAACAAAAAATCAACATAATATCCTTGTATTTTAAAGAAAACTTGCATCAAACTTGGAAAGAAATGTCTTTTTATAACTTATAATTTTATATTGAGGATATTTGACTCACCAAAGAACTTTTGATCAAAGGGCACGCCAAACCATGAATATTGCTTGCTTGTATTTGGGTGACTCGTAGCTGCCTTCTTCGCTGCACTAGTCTCACCTCCAGAGCCACGCCCACCAACCCGTTCGATCAAACTCCCTTTTAAGAGTTCCTGGTAACTTTCTTATATCAATTCTCATTTATCCCGTATGGGGATTTTCCTTTTATGCTCTTATTCAGGAAACAAGAAACGGGTTCGGTTTAATTTTCTGTTTCAGGGCATGGGATCATCAGACGAGGGAGTTGAAAATGGAGGTTGCAACGAGGAGTTAAAGAAGAAAGAGAAGCCATGCTTGATGTTGATTTTCTTGTCATCGTTGTTGGTTTGCATCGCAGGAAGCTTTGTGCTTGGATGGTGGATTTACAAGTATCATCCTACAAACAGCGAGCTCTGGATGGTGCCTTTTGGCCTCATTCTGTTTGCCACACCAGTCATTGTAGGGCTTTCTTTGATCATCTCTGGCCCAGGTTTTTCCGAGAAAGAAGAAGAAGCCAGCGATCTAAACAGATAATAAAAGGAGTAAGCTTATTTTCTGTAGCCTTTTTTGCACATAGGCTGAGCTGTATAAGTTCTCTGTTAATGTCTTGTTCTGCTTCTTTCAGATTTTCTGTGTCTTTGAATTCTGTAGTAGTGGGAAATACACAAAGGAATGAACTGACATGAAGATGATATCGTTTCGTTTGGATATTAGAACAATCCTTTTCTTGCAGTTTTGTCTCAAACGGTTCGCATTACCAGTAGACTAACAATAGGCTCACGAATTGCTACGCCACCGTGGTTTTAATATTGGAAAAATAACCAACTGTTTGATATCAATTCTTTCGATAGTTCTGAACAATTCGAAAATCTTGATTCAAATAACACTTCCTCTGGCGACAACTGACAGAAAACGGGATACATCTGCAAGACTGTTCTTGTTGTAAAAAGAGTTAAAAGCTATGTAGAGGATTAAATAATCCACGAAACAGACTTTTTGGTGATGAGATTGGTAATTTCTTTTAGATTCAGGGGAGGAGCAGTGCAGGAAAGTCGAAGCATTCACTCAAATTTTCACCTTTCTTGTTGTGGAAGAGAGTTTAAAAGGAAAAAAAAAAGAAAAAGAAGTAATAATAAATGCAGAAAAGAACAAGGGAAGTTGATATCTGGGGCCGGATACTTCGCATAGAAATATTTGATTGATAGGAAGGAAGAGATGTATGAGAACGTGGACCACACACAGGAGAAAACAGAGCAACTCACAGAGATATTGCCTTCCCTAGATTCTACAGATGCGCATATATATATATATATATGTGTGTGTGTGTGTGTGTGTGTGTGACGTGATATTAGACTTTCTAGCCAGAAGAGAGAGAGACACATCTTATAGATTTGAAAGCTTACTTGTAAAGTATTGAAAAAAAAAGGGTTTAAAATTGTTTAAAATTGTATGTTTTGGGGGTAAACAGATTAAGTTGGGGTTTTGGAATTTTAGTGTTTTTTATTCATTTTCGTACGTTGATTTAGGGATTTTGTTCGAATCAACAATTTTAAAACTTTAAAATGTTTGCTGTGATTTTTTTTTTTGGCATAGAGTCTTCTTGTATTTTCTCCCAAAACTTGAACTTCTCCCCCTTGATGATTCTTTTGTAACTCTTTCAAATACATGACGTTTGCTTTTCAACTTCTCCCCCTTGATGATTCTTTTACTAACTCTTTCAAATACATGACGTTTGCTTTTCAATAATGTGTGCTTTTATTTTTTGGCCAGAAATTAATAATGCAGCGTGTTGAAAAGGCAATCTGTATTGTTAGTTGATTTTTAAGAGAGAGAGAGAGAGAGAGAGATAGAGAAGAAAAGGAAGAAATAATTTCTGTATATGCTATTTGAATAATCAAAGATCTTTTATAAAGAACATATATGCATATGCTGAAAAGATGTGTTGCAATTAACTTCATGCGGATCAATTGACCAAATCGGTTATGTGGTTGAATTTTCACTTTGAAGGAAAAGGAATCATTTAAAAAAAAGCAGAAAAATAAAAAATGCAAAAAATTATTTTTTTTCCTTTTTCCTATGGTCTATTTTATTAACTTTTGTAATAATAATAACAATAAAATACGAGTTTTCCGCAGTCAGATTCAACAATTTATCAAAAATTAACAAAATAGAATATAAGAGCGAGATTAATCCAACTAATTGTAGTTGCATCCCATTATTTTCAACGAATTTGACCACAAAAAAAAGCTCAATTTAGATTCAGGCAAAACTCCCTCGAACGTTGTTACATACAAATTCATCACAAGAGAACAACAACATCAAAACATAGAGCGCAGTCAAAGTAGACATGATAGAAGAAGGATCAAGATACTGTAAAATGATTCGTTGGGATAATAAATGATTTCATTCAATGACAAGAATACAAATTTACCTTTAACACTTCTAACCCAATAGAAATTAATAGAATACTCTCAATTATTCTTGAAAAAAAACAATAAAAGAAGAATCAACGTCTTGGTCAACGGAATCCAAATACATTAAATACGCCCCCTACTTTCTGCACCAAGTCGCAGCATCCACCAAAAGGCGTGCCACCACCCAGTCAGGCGGTCAAAACGAATCCAAAACATTTTACACTTCTAGAAAAGCACAAAATATGTTTTTCCACTCATATTTAATAAGAATAATATTCAAAAATTACTTGAATCCCATAACAATTTTAATAATGTACATGAATTAGTAGTTGAAAATGACTGAGTTAGTTATGAGAATAACATTTAATCTAATCAAGTACACGACAATAATACACGGGGATGGGGTTCAAATAAATAGAAAGTTCTCCATCCCCATCAAACAAAAAGGGCAAAAAAAGACAAGTTAAAGATCTCGTTGTACTTGCCACTAACTAAAAACAGTCTGATCTCTTTCAAACACACAGGGATACCATTAAAGCTCAACCGTAAATGGAAGCTATTTAAACTAATAATGATAATACAGGATTAACAGAAAGAATATCACCAAATTTACACGTATACACACACACAACTACGTCTGCCGAACAAGCAGCAAGATGCAGCATTATTTGTGTGGCTGGCCCTGCAGAGCAGAGCAAGGCATCATTAGTTGCAAACAGGATTGAAGGCCTGTGAGCTTGACGTTTAAGCCTCACGCCTCAACATCTGAACGTGTAGGGAACTCGAGGCCCCTCAGAGCTGCTATGTTATCCAAATCTTCTTTTGAAATCAAGGGAAGCAACCATAGAGCTTTCTTTGTCCCAAAAACCTTCAAAGCAAAGCACCACAGTGGATATTAATCCGTTATCATCAAATATTTTTGACAGAACTTCGGGTTTCCAATACAAATTTGACATGTGGATCTTGTGTGTAGAACTCCCTTTTTTATCATGATTCCGTGAGAGCAGGCTGCTGACGGAGAAGAAATCTATTTCTTCTCGTGAAATCATATAAAAAGCATCACATTATTGATGAAGATATTTGGTCGCTTGCAAAAAGAAAAATGAAAGTTTCCTGAAAAAATCCATAGCATTATTTCAAACTGTTTTCATCTTATTCTTCAATTTTTAGGGGGACAATTAAAGACAGAACAAGGTCATCATGCTATTTGAAAGCACAAATAAATTGGAAATTGAAGTTTTCACTCCATATAATTAACCTGTTTGTGTGCGATCCAAGAAAGCATGTTTAAAGAACATACCTGTTCAAAATTTTTCTTCCGACCGAGGTCATATCTCCATCTTACTCCTCTTTTCTTCTCATACACCTATAATATCAAACTTGTCGTATGATTCTTTATGGAGCACTTTAAGCAAAAACCATCAAGAAATCTCGTGATTGGAATCACGATTGGGGTAGCATGAAAGCTTTAACAAGATCCGAATACATTCACAAGCATATTAGCAGGCCAGATATTCTTCACTGTTTAACATTAATATACACATCTCTTGCAATTAAAATCATGATTTTGTCTTGTACCCTGCCCAAGCACAGACCAAACAGGCTGAAAGACAGAAACTTCAATTATGTTCTTTTTTTCTTTTCTTTTTTTTAAAGCAGGGATGCAAGTTATCTTTTATCCCCCAAATTACTTTCATTTCACTTTACATTTAATTCCTTCTCATTTTATGTAACAAACAAGTCCTTAATATAAAATAGCAAGACCTACCATCAAGAGACATGATTATCATAGCCTTTAGCCAATACTATCATCCTTAATACAAAATCTACTTGACTAATTTGGGTAGATTAAGAAAGCTAATTAAATTAGTTATTTGTTAAAAATAGGTGTTGGTTTCCCTAAAATACCCTCTTAAATCATTTGCATTGAAACTACCCCTTGATACAAACTCTTTTTAACTTGTGCAATTAATAAGGATAGTTTGGAGAAAAAAATGATAAGTATGGGAATAAAATGGATTGAGATCTTATATTTAGAACCAAATTCAAACCCCCAACTAACTCTTATTTTAAAGATTGGAGCTCAAAGGTAGTAGTTAACAATATTTCTATCCATGCGAGCATATCTGCAAACATGATCATATAACAATACCAATTCAACAAGGGAAAATGGAAAATAAATTGAATTGATTACCTCTACCGATGTTGTGTTGCTTAACAGAAGAGATAAGTGCATAACAACGAAACAAAGAAGACTCAGTGCAAAGGCTAAATTAAGAACTGCATCAAGGCACAATATGCAAGAGCCATAAGTAATTATGAGAGAGCAGAAATAACCAGTGAAAGAACTTGATTAATACAATCAAATTACTTACTAGAAGCCAAAAAGACAATGGCAAAGCTCCCAGGAGATAATGAATGATTCTTGGCTCCTCCAAAGAATCTGATAAAACTAGGCACTAGAGCTAAACAATCCAGCGTTGTCTCAAGGAACGTATAAAGCTATCAGGGGAGGAAAAATGAATTAATAAAAATCAGGGATAATAATGCGTCAAGACCAGAAAGTAGCATATCATTCACCACCCCCGGGGGGGGAATTGCCTTTGCTTTTCACCCTATGATAAGCAATTCCGCTATTTCCATAATTTTTTCTTTTTAAACTAACGGTATGATCTAACTACAATATTTAAAATCAAATAATTTTTTTCTCACTTCTCAGGAATCTGGCAGTAATATATGAATTACCAAACTCGTAAGTTTGAATGCCACTTAACATAGAAATTACCGCTTTCTGGATTCTTGAAAGAATACAGGTAGGAAATTCTATGTGAATATTTAATCGTTTCAAGTTTTTTTAATAAAGAATTGGACATTTTAGCCAGAAAAGAATTAAAGAATTTGACACAGCCGTAATGAATAAGGTACTGGAATTAAAATTACAATCATCCAGTCCGTCGTTGCTGATAAGCTCTACATTTGCTTCTATTTAGCAACAGATAGGTAATAAATAACTTTGGGTCATATTATAGTTTGCCAGTCCTACATGTAAAACCCATATTGTAGTGTACTTTGGGTCATATTATACTTTGCCAGTCCTACATGTAAAACATACAATGGAAAGGACACTACATGGATAAAACCAGTTTTAGTTTATTTATTAAAAAAAAAAACTAAAAAAAATATCAGCTTAAAATCTATTTTTCCCCAGCACTAGTATACGAACTAAACATCAATAATTAGATTAGTAGAACATATCTTCAAAACGCTATCCAAGTTAATGAAACTCAAACTTAACACTTTCATGAATCCCTTTATCAAAGAAATTTGCACAAAATCAATTTACACTGTATGATCCCTTGGTTTTTCTTGACTATCAAGTGGGAGCTCCAATGTTCTATCAATAAACCCTTAAAACCTCCAAGAACATATAATATACCCACCATTGACAGAAGTGGGAGCCAAGGACAATAAACTTAATCTCATAAGGTGCTAATAAACCAAATTGCAAATTCCACGAATGTGAACTAAACAGATAAAACTGGAAACCATAAATATTTCCTAAAATTTCACCTAGCCACAATTAGCAATGCAGAAGAACAAAGGAATAATATTTACCAAAAAGAGAAGAAAAAACTTGTAGTTACGCGCACCAACACAATTCACCACCCAAATACAATGATGATCCATCTTAAGAACACATCTTTGGCCTACAGAAACATGAAAACAAGAACTGAGATGGCTTCATCTTCCGTTATATTATTTCAACTCAGCATGGAGATAAATAATACTCATTCACCAAAAATAGGGCATTTTTAAAATTCACACCAAGGTATATGGAAAAGCTATCAAACGATGTCAGGAAATATAATTGGAGATAATGAAGTCACATACAAATTGAACAATGATGGCAACGTGGTGGCTTGCCATTTTGGCAACGACTACAATATCCAGTTTCTCGTCTTCTTTCCATTCCATCAGAAGACCGCACAGAAGCTGAAGTCTCAGGTGCAAAATGATTCGAGAACATTGTAGGTATGCCAGCTTCTAAACTCTCATCCTCTGATAAAAGTCTCCAATTTTCAGGGACATAACCGGGATCATTGAATACCACCATAAAGTAGCACCAGGTTAACATTATGAGCTGCAATTGAACGAAATCAAACAGATTAGGAACACATTTGCAAATAAAGTGCCCAAAACGAGTGGAAGTGACAATTATGCTACCAAATGAAATACAATAGCCTTTTCCATGAAGAAAAATGAAATCCAATAGCCTTAACTGCCTTTCACTTACAAATAGGAGACATAGGCTTTTCTATGGTGAACTGTATAAACCAAATCCACAACACATCTAATGCCCCAAACAAAGTTGAAATCACAAGTTCATCATAGATCTAGTCAAGCATCCGTACATCATTGTACCTGCGTTCATTCCCTCTCCTCACATTGCTAATTAAAATATATACTTAGTACCCTCCACCCCTCTAAACTAGAAGGTGATAGGTGATGAAGAATTCTTGTTTACTTTTGGTTTCCTTTTGAGGATATAGATTTCAGTTTCATAATCAAAAACACGCACACTAGTCCTTACTCAGTGAGTGCCTATATGCAACTACCCTTTCCAGTTTCCACATTCCACTAAGGACAGAAGTCGAAAGTTTCACGCCCAGCTAATAGCGCTGCAGCAGCAACAAAACGAACGAAAACCCCTTCTTTCTACATGCAACCATCGATTTTTTTTTTCCTTTTCGACCCCAACTAGGCAATCTCAGCAAAATCTTAAACGATCCAAATTATCATAAACAAAACGTGATTTTGAAAAACACACCAGAATGTGAAAAGCTATGATTATGGCAACAGCCAAGAACGAGGAGGCTCCACCACGGAACAAGAGAGGACCCCAGGTGACCACAACAACGGCGTAGTAAGTAACAGCAACGATAGCGGCAAACAATAAGATCATGAAGTAGCCCAAAACTCTGAGGCCAGAGCACAACTTGAAAAGGTTTAAATCCATTCCGGGGTTGGGATTAGTTCGTCGCCCAATTCCAAGAAGGGGGATCCTTGGGACGGGTAAGGGTCTCCTCGCTCGCGCCGGGAACAGGCGTTTCCAGATATCCGAAGCCAGGATTGAGGTTTTCTGCGTTTGGAAACTGGATATCTTGAACACAAGTTGATGGGGAGAGCTTGAACCCAAAAATCTGGACTTGAAAAACAGAGAAACTCGAAGGGAAGAGAGAATCATTTATTCGGGTCGGGTCCAATCGCAACCCATCGTATGACGACGAAGTGAAAATTCTGTGCTGCGAGGTATTCTTCAAAACTGCTGCCTCCAACTCGTTTGAAGTTTATAACCAAAGTTTTATAATTAGAAGAGGAGATAGTAATTAATAACTAATCGTACTAATTTACTAAAAATATAATTAAAAAAAGATTAAAAAGATAATTACCAACAAGCTATAATAATAAATTAGAAGTTGTTATTTTTTACTCAAACTTCTTACAACAAAGTGTTTGCTGGTAAAAAAAAAAAAATGGTGTTTATTTTCATAGAGCCCCAAAGCAAGGGCTCACTGCTGAGTGACCACTGGGCCGAGCGTAAGGCAAGGCCCAAGTGAGGAAGCCGATTGAATTCAGCGAACACCGGTGAGGGCAGCTGAAATTAAAATGGAAGAGGACGAATCTCCATTCAAAGAAATATTCATCTTTAATATTTGATAGTATTTTGAATAAAATTATCTTTAATAGAAGGATACATATGCTTAAAAAAAAAAAGATAAGAAACTTGAATATTTAAGAAGTATTTACAAAGAAGAACTCAATATCTGAATTTTTTTTTTTTACATTTATATATCCTGAAATTTTTTTTGTGACAAAAATACTCTTACCGTTATTTATCATTAAATTTAACTGTTAAATTATGTGAGTTGACTAATATCTTTAAGAGACAAACTTAACAATTGATAATAGTTCAAGACAGAAATGCTGCAATATAAAACTTTCAAAGGATATAGGAGCCAAAAAAAATTTCAAAAGCTTAGTGCTCATTCATAAATACTTTCAAAATAGTTAAGCACATTATCCCAAATTAAAATACCAGGAGGAAATTTACAAGAGTCTAGATTGGTATCGACCAAAACAGAGATGGGCATAATATTTACTGCCCATTTTGCCGGCGTCCTCATCTGCAAAAGATTGCAGTTTGGCGTTGACTTTTCTTGAGGGAGTTGACTCGTCTTTCTTAATTCCATTCACCAATCATTCGAATCCCAGTTTGACCCAAGTCTTCATTGACTCTTTAGATATCAATCAATATACTATCAACTATCAAATCCTCTTTTTCTGTCATTCAAGACACGGCACAAATTTAGACAAAATGTGACACAGCTTCCTCTCGTAAATCCTACTTTCTTGACTAAAGTTATGAGTTTGGCAGCAGGTTTTAAATTTCTTGTGTAACAATGGGAAAAAAAGAAGAAGGAATCCTAATATTTTTAAAGTCATGACCGTGATATTATATTATTACTGCAACAACTTCTTAATCCATCGACCTAAAGTTTGCTCTTTCTATTTTTGAATTGAGAAGCCTTGACTCTAGTTGGATCACTTGTCATCAATCCTGAGTAAAATCCCATTCACTGACTCAATTTTTCATGTGATGCCACAATGCCCACCAGAATTCGACTCGGGTTTGGACGAAGCAAAGCGTCCAACGCAGACGAGAGAATTCAAAGGCTGTCTTTGGACTTGGCAACTGTTCGAACCACCCCGAATCTTTTCCACGCTCAGCTCAACTTTTAATTTCAGGAACTGAGCCTCGTCAACATCCGAAGGATCCTCAGAATCCCAGCACAACAATCTTTCCCACGCTCAGCTCAACTTCTCCTAACCCAGGATTCTTCCTCGATCTTTTCTGTGACGCTGCTATCTTTCATTTTCTTCTTGTCGTCTTAGTCATCTATCTTTACATATTTGCATTTGGGTTTGCGGTATTAATTCATAAAATTAGGGTCTTTATTCCTGTTACTTTCATTGCAAATTTAGTTGAGGCTTTTGTTTCTATTGGGACTAGAACTTGCAATTGAGTAGTTTAAAGAGAAATCGGAATTTCTGTCTCTGAGTTTGGGGCTTTTCTCTCTTGTACACTCACAGTACTGAGAGAGTGAGAGTGAGATTTTCTGTCTTTCCGTGAATGTGTGCGCGCGTTTTATTTTATTTTTATTTTTAGTTTTTTTTGGCTCATAAAGCTTGCTCGTTCTCTACTCCTGAGATGTGAGCTTGGAGTTTTTCATCAATCAATTCTGCGGCCTTCTTCTCTCATGTCCTATACTAACATGAGATTTCGATCTCACCATTGTGATTCTTAGTCTGTTACAAGATTTTCAATGATTCACTGATCGTGCAGTTAGAAAGCTAATTAAAAATGACAAATTAGTTTAAATTGTTAAAAAATATAGTTTCTATCCATCCATAATATAGTCCTTTAAAAATAATATGGTGATAGAAAGTGGCGTTTCTTTTATATGTATCATTTTTTGCGTACTATTAAGTTAAGGAACTGATTTAGAATTTTTTTTTTGGATAAGAAACTGATTTAGAATTTTCAATTGAAGTAAAATAACAAACTATTAAAAGGTTCATAATGACAATAAAATTAATAAATTACCCATGCTGCATAAAAAATTTTCATTCAATTGATTAAAATCGACAAAAATTTAAAACTGTACAAACTAATACAGTCTTATAATCAGAACCGGAAATAATACATAAAATTATAGATATATACCCCAAGCATGGTGGGACTGGGCTTCACATTGACCCAATATTCAACTTAACCCCATCTTCAAACTAGCCCAATATGCCAGGTAAGACTAGCTATCGGGTTGGTTAGAAAGGTACTCCTCTGATCCTATTTATAGGATAAAGAGAGAAAGTATTTTTTAATCCTATTTATAGGGTACTGAGAGAAATTTTTTGTATGGATGTATAATTTTACCCCTCATTTATAATTGTGTTGACTTTGTTTATATGAGGTATAATATATATTAAATAGAGATAAAGTTAAAAAGTTATTAAAGTTTAAATAACAGTTAATGAAGTTTAAAATTTTTCTTGATCTGTGTGAAACATGCTAAAAGTGCCTTATAAATAGAACTAGAGGAGTAGCTAGGATATTGTGAGTTTATCAAAAAAAAGCTCGATAGCTAGCTGCCCCAACTGTAATGCTATCCATCATGTTTGGACAAGCTTCTGTTTTCGAAAAAATTATGCCCCCACTTGTATATTATTCTACTGGTCCTAAATATAAAATCTATTTTATAGTGTAAATTACACTACAAAACAAGTCTTATATTTAGGGCCAGAGAAGTACTTCATAGGTTAGTCAAATTAACTTGAAAAAAAGATAACATAAATATAATGAATAAAATGAATTAAAATTTTATATTTAATATTAAATCAGACCTCCTAAATAGTTAGCTAAAGAAAGTGATATTATTTATACCCTACATATATAGATATATATTTCAAACACGAAAAAAATAAAAACTCAAATAAAAGGCATTCATGGCAAGCGGGATGAATAAAATCCACGGGTTAAGGAGCATTTAACACCTTAGAGTTTTTAAATACATTTAACGCCTTAAAATATTTTGTTGTGTAATTTTGTTCTTAAAATATTAATTTTTTAAAAAGCAACTGTGTTTTTAAAGTATTATTTAATGAGAAAATTTAACTTCATCATTATCTTCTCAAAAGCCTGTTAAATGAATGCATACCAAACACCATAAAGTATTTTTTTAAATATTTTTTAGGATAATTAACACACTTGAAAAATACTTTAGGGTAATGAATGAACAACACAATAATTTATAATGCTAGATGTATCTAAAAAAATATTTCAGGATTAATGCATTTGACAAAATGCATCGAGATGATAGACACATCTTACTCCTAAAATCAAATCACAGCTAGCGTAATTTGATTATACACGGCACAAAATAGTGAATATAGCAGTATTATGTAGAGAGAATTACAATGAAGTCCTAAGAAAGTACAATAATTACCAAACAAGTCTTAAAAATTATTATTTTTTAGTCTGAAACTCATCATTACAAGCTATTTAGATTGTTATTAGGATTTTTTAGTGATTTTTTATCTAAAGGACCTTATTGTAATTCTCCCTATTATGTATGTACTCTAGAGTCGAGACGTTTAGTTCATTGTAATGATCGTCGTTCTTCATTGAAAGTGAGATTCTACTTACACTAATTGATGATTTTAACTCTTGACTTAATTAATTAAGCTTACTCGATTGATTTTGACATTTTATACGTTCCTCATTTGGTGGTGCGTCCATCTGTGACAAGTTGACCAGCTCCGATCCTTGTAGTTAGCAAAGATTACATCCAAGGATTCATTGTTTGTAAATTTTTTCGGTCAGTATCTGAAAAAGCTAGATTATTTTTAAGGATAGAAGTTATCAAGCTTTGATAATAAAGTCATATTAAACTTAAAAGGAAATTACTACTAAAATTTACTACTAATAGTATAGCTTTCTTAAAACTTGGTAATAAAGATAAATAACTTTCCAAACTCAATAACTTTAATAGCTGAAAATAGTTAGTCATAATTCATAAAATTTTCTTAACCATGTAATTATTTTCTGTTTATCTTCTCTTACAAACGGGTAATATTAGTTAATTTTTCGTATACTAGATGACTAGGAGCTTCTCGATTAGGTTGTCACCTAATTGATATTCTGAAGATGAAATGGCGCATGAATTCAAAGTCGGCGTGATTCTTTGACAATTTACTGACGCTTTGATATATATCAAAGCAAGACCAGATGAGATGATCGGAGAGACTCCCTCCATTAAAGGGTTTATTAAAAAGAAAAAATTATAAATAAAAACCTCTCAATATGTAAAATTACAATTTAGGACTCTAAATTTGAAAAATAGCAAATAAGGACTAGGTCCTACTTTTACAAATATGAAATGTGGGTGAAATGTCTAAAATACCCTTCAGTCAAATTGTGATTTGATCTACTGAAGTTGTCATTCACTAAAGTAAACTAGTTATTTCCCATAATCAACTCGTCATTTGGCATATCCTTAGTCAAGTGGTAATTTGGTCTACTGAAGTTGTCATTAACTAAAATAAACTTGTCATTTCCTATAATCAACTTGTCATTTGGCTGGGGGCACTTCAAACATTTCACCATGATTTTATATTTGCAAAAATAGGATCGAGTCCTTATTTGCTATTTTCTAAATTTAGAATCCTAAATAGTAATTTTACATGTTAGGGGTCGT